GTTTAATAAGCACTCAAAAAATTTTGATTTTGATTTGTCAAAATTCGTTTTTTTAAAATTCCCATTAAAAATATTATTTATTAGGGTTATCCAATAGCTCTCGTGGATAATTGGCCAAATCCAATATGCACAATTTTATCCGGAATTGTTTTTTATACTGTTATTGCATATACTGTATTAATTGGATCTCTTTCGATAATTGTTTGGCTTAAAGGTAACATATATTATATTATAGATGCTGTATATATGTAAGCAAATAACTATATTTAGCGAAATAAACAATTTCACTTTTATTTTACTTTATTTTAGAATGTTATAAAGTCGAATTCTATCTTGGCGCGTATGATTATAAGTTATTTGCTGTCACTATAATCATTCCGACAATTTTTACAGTTCTTAGTCGTAAAGCATTTGGAGGCGATGAATTTTGGTAACTATAATATTTATTTGATTTAATTAACTATTAATTGCACATTAATATTAACATATTAACATTAACATTGATTTATTAGGTGTTACTCGCCTGACCAATTTGACCTAGTTCCAAAAGTGCTTTTAGCAGTGTGTTTTACTGGACTAGCAATTTGCAGTTTTTGTTATTGTAATATTTTTATGAAGGCTAACAAAGTCAACAAAACAATATCAACCACTAAAAGTTTTGATGAAATAATAAATAACGATAATGATTATTACCAACCAAATCACAACTAATTAATTAATTAATAAATTAATTAATACCTAAATAAGCCATATAAAGTGGTATTTTATCGATAACACTAAGTCCTTTATCATTGTTGTTTCCAGCTCCACCATTTTTAGAAAATGTACGACGAATCACGTATAAAGAACAGAATACACTTGCTTGTAATAACATCAAGGTAACAATATACATCAATCTCATTTTAAAATACCCAACCTCTTCAAAGTATTCTTTATTTGGTGATATATCCTCTTCTGTTAATTGTCGTTTCATTAATAAAACATTGTTATCATGAGAAATAACTGGAATAGCATTTATTCCATAAAAAAGATTAAAGAAAAAATTAACAAAGAAAATTATTTTATAAGACATTTCTTTAGACGCGTTTTTTTTTTTTTTTTTGTTATTTTTTAAAAAAAAGAAAAGAATTTTTTATACAAGTTTTTATAGATAAAAAAATTTTCTTTCTCTCTCGTGACTTAAATAATAATATATTAATCTGAGGATAACAATATTATCTTAAAAAATTTCACATGTGATAACAATAGATTCGATCCAGTGAAGCAGCAGACAGATAAACAAAGAAACAATCCAAATCTAACCAGCTAATAATAATTGGTACCTGGATTACTTAATTTAACAATAATTAATTATCTTTAATGTGTTTATCTAATAGATATTTAAATGTCGTAATTAAACTTAAACCATTTTTTGAACTTGGCGAAACTTTGTTTCTTGTGATAAATTCGAATAATTTGTTTGCGAAACCTGTGAAACGTGAGATTGATTTTATCTTTAACATTTTTGTAAATTTTGTATACTTTCAAAGTTCAACCTAGCTGATGAAAGTATATATTTTGTTCTATGCAAGCTATTTAGTTTTGTATATATAGGGTAT